CACCTGAGTCCTCAGGAATGGCAACGCATGGGGGGTATCATGTGCGAAACAGTATACTCTGTTATGTCCATGTTACTGCTCATGTCTATAGGCGACGGTTACCACTTTCCATCAGGTGGGCCGTTAGCTTGTTTGCCATTCTAAGTTGTATAAAAAAAAAACATTATATATATATTTTTTACAATACAGGCGGCAAACGAGCATGCGGATCACCTGATGGTAAGTGACTACCGCCGCCCATGATCACTCACAACACCAACGGCATTGCAAGTGTGCTGTCGGCGTTTTAAAAAGGAATATGCTTTTTTCTTGAAGTTTACGATATCTTTTTTCTTTATTTTTTTTTTATACAAATTTCAATTTTATAAAAAACTATCTTATCAGACCGACCTCGACACGGTTTCCCCTTAAAAAAACATCATGCTTAATTCTAGTAATCGTGTTTCTACCATGAAGCAGTTGTGTTTCCATGACTGATAAGTGGTATAAAAAAAATAGTGGAATTCTACACGATGGACTAACTGATCTGCTTTCATCCTGACCTATCGTCAGTCACTGGTGCCCGCCATAGCATAGGCGTGGTCGCCAAATTAATTTTCATTTTACTAAAAGACATCTTAGTTCTCAGGAATTGTAACATATAGTCTCCCTATATGTTACAATTATCAATATAGTATCATGAGTTAACAAACATGTAAATCTTTTCACAAGCTTTAATTTTTTTTATATATGCAAGTTTTGATAGATCTAATAATTTACGTCTGACTTTAATGTAGTTTGCCTTAAGTATTTTTATTTAATGCTTATTTAATATCAGATAATTAGTAAGCTAGGTACGTGTAGCTTTGAATAAGTTTGTACATTTGAGAGCAAATTAATTGTGCACTTGGTATTAATATATTTTTTTTGTATAATGTAATACAATAGAAAATAAATTGACGGTACATCTGATGGGAAGTGGTGGCAGTAGTCAATATACTTCATAACAGGGAGCATTACTTATCACTATACTGACGTATTTACCAGTAGGAGACTTTGTACAAAAGTCGTTTGCTTGGGTATCTCTGTCCCATTCGTGTTTCAACCGTAAAGCAGTTGTGTTTGCATGGCTGTATACTACTACTACTACTACTACTACTTTCCATCAGGTGGGCCATCAGCTTGTTTGCCATTCTAAGTTGTATAAAAAAAAGAAAACACCACGATGAATTATTATTTAAAAAAAAGACAGTTTACAGAAGAGTTTCTTAAGGAAAATAGATGAGCTAAGAAAGGTTCTTTTTTTTGGAAAATTTTACATAATAAAATAAGACGTGTTTAGATTTTTATAACATGTTTAAAATTCATGAATCGAGATATGCCACGGTAAATATTACGTGACTTTACCTTGTTGGGGGTTTTTAGAATTTTCGTACATACTTACGAAATTCAAGGAGATCGTGTATTTATATTTAGATGAAAAAATACTAAATTGAACTTGTTGAAATAATTTATTAAAATAACATTAATTAAAAATGTATATAGGCTTATATTTTGAAACAAATATATACTTTATATATCCACATAATCTATATTTCACATTGATTTTATATAACTGGTTTCTAATATACAAGTAATTATTATAATTTATTCAAAATACGAGTAGTTTAACTCTTTAATTTGTGGTGTTGTTTAACTTTTATATTTCAGATGTAACAGAATTAAGAGCGTTTACCAAAGTACGTCTGTAACGTAGAAATTATTCGTCAATTATCAAAAATAATTTAACAATTACCAATATTTCTGATTGATTACGTAAAAATTTGCCGTGCGGTTCCGGCATAGAATAGGCCAGCCCTTTACTTTTTCGTGGGTGTCGTAAGGCGACTAAGGGAGGGCGAGGTATGGACAGCAGCGTCTCTGTTAAAACATCTCCAAAGTCTACCTGCGGTTGCTAATCCACCTCCTAAGCATAGCAACTATTGATAAAATTTCCAAGAGACATATTTTTCCATTTTATTCCTTTTCACTAGCTATAATCTATTTTTTTTTTAAGAAATACACAATTTCAATAGCCGTATGGTCCCAGCATAGAATGTGCCACCCCTTTTTTTCCTATGGGTACCGTAAGGAGCGACTAAGGGAGCTTTAATAGTCGAGAGATGGACAGTAGCGTTCCTCTAAAACCATCACCAAAAATCAAACTACATCTGCCAATCCGCCTGCCAAGCGTAGCAACTGACAAAATTCCCCCAATGATAAACTGCCATAGGGAACAGCCCCATTCAAGCCTATGTTCAGTAATAAATACGTAACGACTGACAATGATACAATTTACGATACGACAACATAACCTTCAGGAAAAGAGCATATTCCTTTTTAAAATACCGGCAGCACACCTGCAATGCCGTTGGTGTTGTGGGTGACCATGGGCGGCGGTAGTCAAATACCATCAGGTGAACCGCATGCTCGTTTGCCCCCTGTGTTGTAAAAAAATTCAATAAAAGCTTATTTTATAATTTAAAAATAAAAAAAAAAAAATGTAAGTTAAATAAATATCAAAAATAGGATAAGCAATCATCATTTAGATAATAACAAATCACTTTGTAGAACCAATTATATCGAATTAGCTACCGTAAAAACAAAATTGTTCTCGTAAGTTATAACTTAAGTGTTATTTGTACCACCTTTAATGTTTGACTTGCCCGTCGAAAGACTTTCACTTTTTGATATTTGCTATATTAATACTGTGTCAGGTTATTTTGCAAGTATTTGTACAATGTAATTTCGACTACACGTTTTTTAGGTGCGCCTTTTAACTTGGGGCCAAATAGTGTTATTACATTTTATGATTTACAAATTATTGTTTGTATGTTATTAGTTAGGTATATAGACATAGAAACGATATACAGATTATAAATTTTAAAATAATAGGGTATTAAAATCTAATGAATTTTAAGCAACTTTCAAAATAACATTTTTTCATTTTTATTTTTAATGTCACGTAATTGCGTCGTTAATTTTGAACTGATTTTTATTTTAGTATTTTGTAGTCATTATAATGTATTTCTGTATTTGTTTTATACTATATTATACTTTTTTGTAGAGCAAATTTGCTCACTGCCAAGCAAAATCTTCTGAAAAAAAATTCTGAAACATGCGGTTGGGCCTTTAAAAAAAGTATTGTGTGTTAGAGGGGAATAAAGCCGTTGATGATCTTTGTCAATTTTGAACTGATTTTGACGATTATTTTTTCATTTCACAGAGGAATGAAAGAAAGATTAAAATCTTTTTTTTCTAGTTTATAATAGTTTATGTAAATGTATTTTATATGTTTAGCGTATTTAAATAATAAACATATTAAATAACATAATATAAATATATCTGTCCTTTTTACACATAAAGTGACATACGTTAGGGGTGAAAGGAAACGAGAATAATATGTTTGTTTTGACGCAAATGTTACAAGAATTAACTTTGAAATAATTTTGATACTTTTTTTATAATAATTATTACATCTATTTATTATTTTATACATGCCACTTAATTTTTTTGAATATATTTATTACATTTTTTTATTTCTTACAATTCATATAATAATATTTTTTTTCCCATAATGCACATAATTTAATCAGAGTTTATGTTATTTTAAAGAAAAGAAAATTAATTAACTTTTCTTATATTCGTTTAAATTTTTATTAAAAAGTGATAAATGATTTAAATATTTAAAATTAAAGTTAAATTGATTAATTTGTGACAAAATTAAGCATATTTAACAGAAACATTCATTTGTTTATGATACATGAGAAATAATATTAACTAAACTGATATAGAATTCTTGAACCCTTTCCATAAAAATATTTGTGAATACATATATGTATTTATGTTTTTAGTTCTTTATGAGATAGATATGATGAAAACAGATTTTTTTATACCTACTTCGGTAGTTACAGCCTTCACAGATTTATTATTATTATTATACATTTATTTAATCTATTAAATGCTAAATTGGCCAAATATCAAGCAACTTATAATTAATAAAAATTACAAATACATTTAAACCCTCTATTAATGGATTTTCTAAAAGATGATATGACCAAAATGGTAGTGAATGCGAAAATTACTTCAAATAGAGAAGAGTGGAAGAGAAAAACGTATTAGGCCTACCCCAAATATTAATTAGGATACCCTTGTATCAAGGAGATGATGTCAAAGTATTTAAACCATTAAATACAATTTTTTATCAACATCATATTGTTGTAAATATCAGGATGCAGAAATAAAACGTATATGTATTTGTGATATAAAGTAATAAGTTTATTTAAAAAATACGAGACATGTCTTATAAAAATCTGACGTAGAACAAATATAAAAATAATACATTTTTCTAAAAGTAACTCAACGTCAACAGCCAGTATTAAAACTCCAACACATATCTACCGGTAACTGTCCACTTCTGAACATAGGCTTTCCTCAAAAAAGGAGTTTTGCCAGTAGTTGCCTCGTCTGGCAGGCGCGTTGGCAAACACAGTTAGCCTTTGTTGATGTTTTAAGAGGGACGCTACTGCCCATCCCTTGGCCATTAGTTTCCTTAGACACCTTTTTCAACACTCACGAGTAAAGAAGGGATTGCCAACTTTATATCGAGAGCATAATATTATATTAATTTAATTATAACGAATATTAATTTTATTACGATTTAAATCACTGTATTTTTTACGGAACAAAATAAATAAAAAAAAATATATGAAATGTTTTGATTCGTGTCTGAATTTTTGTGTAAATTATATCAAACTAGAAATATAGTAAATATATTTTGTACTGTTTCTAAGTAAATTCAATCGAACTATAAATATTGCAAGTATCAATGTAAAGGTCAACAACACTTCTAATATAGAAAACAATAAAGACAACTTTCGATTTTAATCCCATCAAAATTCAATTAGAAGTACCAAGACAGTTAGGTCCGCGTATATGCGTACGCGCACCTCTAGAATGGTTAACGACAAGCAAAACTTTCGGTCGGTCGTACAGTCCACGACTGTCTATCGATTAAGGCAGACGATAGGACGGTGACTTTTTTATTAATTAAATCGAAAAATATAAATTGTCGAACATAGTTTATATTTAGAAGGTGATTTTTTGGTTGTTTTTTTTTTTCCTATCGTGATTTTTCTGTGACCGACTGTACTGCAAGTGCTGCACTGACGTGCAAGTTAAGTGTATCGAAAATTCGGAATATATTCGTGGGAAGTGTACATTTGTGAAACATAAAAAAACAATGGTGAGTTTTTTTTTTTTATTTATTTAAGAGAAAATAAAACGGCCGTAATACATAATAAATTTAATATTTATAATTAATTTATATTTATTATACATATTCAAATTTAGGTAATGCAATTACTGTATTTTATATTTAATTAATTTAATTATTTATAAATAATCCATAGACTTGAATGATTCAATATATAGGTCAGTGGGTAGTCTTAGAGTTATACTGTACCACTACCATCTTGATATTTAGAGTAGGGATATAAATTAATAAAATGATAATTTCAAAGTGAATATAATATAGTTTACAACAAAATTTAGAACGAAATGGAATAAACAAAATCCGAAAGTATGCTCAGAATATTTTCGAGCAGTCATAACACGATAATTAAATTAAATATCTTTTTAAATATTTATAAGGTTACGAATAACTTTAGAAATAAACAAATGTTACGCAATGGAATGCTTTGAATTGGATATGATATACTTAAAAGCTTCATATAATACTTCATTTTATAATGAATCAATTTAAAATTAAAATTTATATTATGTTTACATTCGTTCATATCTCGATAATTTGACAAATTTTGTTATTTTAATCTAATTTTATTTTGACAAATAGTAAAAGATTTATATTTTAAAATAAATATTATATTAAATAAATATCTATTTTAATATATTAAATAATTATAACTAATAAAAAATCTAACTTTACTATTTTGTCAATTTTAAATTTGACAAACTAATTAACATTTTATTTTAATTGCCAGACTGAATAATTCAACAGTTGGGTATTTATTTAATTTTAAACTAAAATAAATTCCTAATTTAAATAATAAAATCGTCTTATTTTAATTTTAAAAATAGAATCAGATTATCACGAATATCAAATTCGTGATATATTTTCGAATTCGATACTCGAACACATCGAACGCGCGGTAGTTCGCGCCGCCTTTAAAGAACAAAAAGTCCAGTTTCACTGGGTGAAAGTGGCTAACAATCGCGTAGAAATCGGTCCCCGTTCGCAGAGCTCGCTGTATGCAGTATTTGTATATGTACTGACGTGATAATTAGGGTTCCGCTGCATTATCAATGCGATTTAGCTAGTGATTTTATTAGTGGAGCAATTTATTTTTCTGACAATCGTTGCATTGTTTTGGCAACATTCGTTTTCAAGTTGCTTTTATCGAACGTAATATTATAATTTACTATATTAAAAATATTTAAATTTAGAATGTCTTATCACGTATCAGCAAATCAATTTTGCTCTGTAACAAACATTTTTTTTGTTGTAAAAAGAAAAAAAACACCTAAATTTAACACAAAATTAATAAGAGACCCCACAGGGGAGTGAATTACAACGATGATAAAAAGAATTGTGAAAATTGGCTCAGGATTAGTAACGTAATAAATTAATTTTATTAATTAACCACCCGAAAGGTCAGGCCGTGATAAATGGGTAAATAACGCGTTATATCGATGGGCATATATATCTGAGCCAAATTGTTTCCATCGAAAACAGGCGAATCAGGGAAATCGGTCGTCAAATTGAAAATGCTCAGAAGAGCTACTGGTCAATGAAGATGCCAACAAATAATGATCTTCTGTTGGTACTAAAGCGCGCAAACTTATCGACATGTGATCAAGATATGTAATCTTGTCTATTACGGTGCTCAGACCTGATCACTGACTGAGAAAGGCACAGAAATCCAAACTCCAATTTTGTTAGAGAGCAATGGAACAAAATATTTTAGGAGTAAAAAGGTCGGATCGGGTCTCTAACATCGTACTTCTCCAAACTGCAGTTAAAGAAGTTAGCTAGAAACCGGCAAATTAAGTGGAATTGGATGGGTCATATTAGCCGTGTGGGTCTCTATAGATGGGCAAAGATCTCCACCCAGTGGATGCCTGCTGATAGACAACGTTACCGAGACAGGCCCAGGAAACGATGGCGTTATGACTTAGACGCATTTAAAAAGGACTGGTTTGAGGTGGCGCAAAACGAGCATTTTTGGAAGGAGATTAAGGAGACCTTTGCCCAGCAGTGGGACATCATAGCCGGATAATAATGTAATAATAAACGATCCATTATACCAGAAAAAAATCCGAATTTGTCTGAATAATTTATAACTGTATTCTCTACATCATTTTCTATTTTAAACATTATATAATATGTCTGTAGATTAAATCAGGGATATGATTTGATTCCCGGAATAATGAAATTGATGCACGTACTCCTGGGTTTTAGTGGCGACAAAATTGTTATTTATGACATAAAGAGGCACGGATTGAGTACTCCGGTCACGCGCCTACGAAATTGTCAATTCGATTTAGGTGAAAATTGCTCTTGGTAGGTCCCTACAAAAGAATTAGAGAATAACATGTTTGACCCATTAATAGGTTATAGGTTTAGGATCTGTTTTTTTTTTCTTTTTTTTATTGATGGACGTGAAAATAAAGTTATAATTCTATATAACTGTGAGCGAAGAAATTTTAAATTTGGAATACTGTGTTCGAATTATGAGTTCTAGTTTTAGCCTAATTAGAGGCTAAAACTAGAACTCATCTCAACTCATGAAAACCTCAAACGTGAAACAGATAAATAACTAAAATTTTTTTATTAGGCCTTACTTACAGCTATTGACCTGTTTTGTTTTTTTTTTTTCATTTAAAAACAGTTCTTTGTGCATAAGAAAATATAAAACATGCTAATAAAAATAGTTCCTTGTACTATGTTAACATTTAAAAGAGATAAAAGAGATAAAATTCTATGAATAACAAAGATAATTTTAAATACTTTTTTAATTATTATTTATATGTTAATAGCAAATTTTAATGCCAATTATTACTGATTGCAACTCTTTTCGAAACTGGCTATCTCCTTTATAACTACAGATAATATAATAACTATACTGTAAAAAACATACGAGAAAGTAGTAGATTTAAATAAACTTCAAAATTATGATTCGGTATTTCTTTTTAATATTTTTTTTCGATTAAACCGAAGTGTATGTTTTAAATTTGTATGAATATACATAAAAAGAAAGCAAATAAGTTCCAGTCAGTCCTAATAATAAGTTTTGGGGGGAAAGGGATTGTTAGTAATGGAGACTGGGAATCCCATTGCTAGCAATATAACCCAACCAGGTCGATCTCCTCGCGGTATCCCCTGGAAACTATCATGATTAATTCCTGATGAATTCGTCATGATGGGCTAACTGGCCTGTTTTCATCCTCATCGATCACCCTTCACTGGTGCTTCGCCAGCGTATCCCGTTAGCGCAGGCGGGGTTATCATACCATTTTCATCCATAAAAAAAATAATAAGATTTTATCAAAAATACCCTCATTAGCCTAGACACGTCATTAGTTTAACAAAGGAATCATTAGCATAAGTTCTTAAATAAAAAGGTGAATGATATCAACTTTTTTATAAAAATAATTGTTTATAATGAATAGGATTAAGATTTTGGCAAGTCGAAAACGATCACTGTAAGTTGATTCATGGTGTGACCAGTAAAATCAAAATGTATTATCGACCCTTTTTATGAAAATAAAATAGTGAAAGAAAAGATAAACTCGATAAAAACTACATTAGTTTATATATTTATATTACATATAATTACGGATATATAAATTATTAATAAAAATCCTGCATAAAATAATTATTTATTATAAATTTATTATGAAATATAAGGCATTTAAAATATTTTCAAATACGTAAATATAATTCAAATTCTAACCTAACTTTTTTTTTTATACGATTTAGAATACCCCCCATACGTTGCCATTCCTGAGGACTCAGGTGTTATGCCTCTGTACCCTGTAAATTCTCTGCCTTATCTCGAATACCCATCATACCGAAATACAGCCATGCAAACACAACTGCTTCACGGTTGAAACACGAATATCTTTATAACTTTCCTTAATATTTCACACATTCTTGGTGCAGTATGGAAGCTGCAGATATGAAATATTATAATGTACATACATATATATGTTACGCAGTGCGGACATACTAAACTAGTTCATGAACAAACTTTCTTCGCGTTGTGCACTATACATTTTGCATCACTTAATACTGACCTACAAAAATAGCATAATTATTGTAAATCCGCCATTTTAGTAATGTGATGTTTTGACATAAGAAATCAGTGGAACATAACGCACAGAGTTACTACAATATTTATTATGGACTATTTACCCTATCATTGTTACATTAAGATGCTTATTTTCAACTTTTACTTTTTACAGAATACATTTCTCTTTACCCAAAGGTGGGCTTGTTTTGTTAACATTTCTGTAAATATGATTAATAAAGTATTAATAAATATATGAGATAAAATATTTTTTAGTATTATTAGTAGACTTTGTACAGAAGTCGATTGCTTGGGTACCTCTGTCCCATTCGTGTTTCTACCGTGAAGAAGTTGTGTTTGCACGGCTGTGTTTCGGTTTGAAGGGTGGGATATGGCATGAATTTACTGGGTACAGAGGAATAACATCTGAGTCCTTAGGAATGGCAACGCATAGGGGGTATTATGGGCGAAACAGTATATTCTGTTATGCCCATGGTACTGCACATGTCTATAGGCGACGGTTACCACTTTCCATCAGGTGGGCCATCAGCTTGTTTGCCATTCTAAGTTGTATAAAAAAATGACAATGTAAGTAAAATAGTAATAGCATAGCATAGTAGCACAATTAAATAAATTTAACATTCCAGATTCTTGTGAAAAGTGTGAACAATATTTAAATATTATTTACCATTCTTTATACCATTTTACGCACATAATAAAATTATTTGTAGATAGATAGATAGATAGATACTCTTTATTGTTTCCTCCAAAAGATTACAATAGTAAACTTATTATAAATATAAACAATTACAAGAAATAATCACAATGAGATTGTATTTGTATTTTTTTGTATGACATCTACAGAGTCACGCGTTGCTATTTCTTGATTTGTTATTTGTAACCATAATTCCATTATATTACCTTAACTGTTTAC